TTAAGCCATCCTCCTGTCTTAGCCTCCTGAGTAGCTGGGACTACAGGGGTGCACCAGCACAATTAGCTATTATGCCATTTATTGCTGAAGAAATTAAGTCACAGAGCAGTCAGTCAGCAGCAGAGCTGGGCGAGGAACCCAGGCCATTTTGCTCCAGAGTGTATGTTCTTCACCACTACAGTGTGTGCTCTCCTGCCTCTGAACCTTCACAGGCTCCTCTAGGCCCAATGGGTTGCTGGATTTTTAACAGTCACAAGAAACCAACGCTAATGCAGTGTGAGCCCCTCAGCAGGTCTGTGCTGGGCACTGATTAATGCTACTTGGTATGAGACACTTCCAAGCCATGAGCCGGCTCTTCCCCTCTTCCTGGAATGCCTTCATCCAACCTCCATTCCTGCCATTATCCTTCCACATTCAGCTCAGATATCCCTTCCTCTGGGAAGCTCTCCTGACTTGACAGAATTAACTTCTCCCTCGTGTGCTATGCAGATCCTGTGCAGACTCCAACTGGGTCCTCACCACTCTAATTATGCTTACGGTTCACCTGCCTGTACTGTGAGGGCAGGAACTGTGTCTTGTTTCTTGAGTGTGTCTTTGGACACAAAGCAACATACCTGGCCAAACTGGCATTGAGGAGATATCTGTTGGATTAAATGACTCGAGGTGGAGCCTCCCCAAAAGAAGAAGCTAGGCATCTCCTGCCCGTCACCTGCCTCACCATGTCTAACAGGATGTCCACTTTCAGCCGCAAGAGATTGTTCTCTTCCTCCAACTGCTGGTTCCGCCTGCGAAGGCGCTGAACCTCCCTCCGGTCCACACCGCCACTAACCCCTGTCTCTGGAGGAAGGACAGAACTAGTTAAAGGAGGGCTTCCTCCTACAATCTTGTTTGACAAAATGGCAGGAAGTGCAGCTCACCTGCTATCCACTGGCCATTTTCAAACTTCAGGCTTTGCCCTGCCAGGTTCATAGTGGGGGATCCATATTCCAAGCCCAGCTCCACCTCCCGGGCTGACCGATCCAACTGTGGGCGAGATGCTACGTGACAACTTTAGCAGGCCCAGAACACGCCCTCATCCCAGTTCCTCTTCTGCCAACAATATGACCCCAACAACTCATTTCTCTAATCATTATCTGGCACCTTTAATGATTTTTTTAAAGGCCATAAAATCAAATGATGTACAGCAAAAGTTTAATTATGAGATGAAAAATATACTGTTTTATACATTAGATGTTTCTAGAAAAACTGTATATGCTGAAATGTATAAATTGAATTATTATTATTATTATTTTTTTTTTTTGAGACAGAGTCTCGCTCTGTTGCCCAGGCTGGAGTG